AAATAATCAAACCTTTCTTGGACTTTTCGGAAAAACAACTTTTTGGCCTTTTCCCACGAACTCCAATCAAAAAAAAAACATCTTTTTCTTATCATCAATGTGGTTAATGTGGCGGTTTTTTGCTATGATTATCGAATAACACAAATTCCTGCTCTGATTTCTCAATATTAAAAGCGATTCAACTAAATTTATAATCTTCGGGGAATTCTGCCGAATATTGACCGGAGGGAAACTTTCACAATCTCATTCGCAAAGAGATCTCGCAACTTTCGGCAGTTATAGCTGTTTCTTCTCATGAATGAACCAAGGCTGGTTTCATATTAACATCTTGTATATATATGTAGTGCTAGAACAACATATAAATTATTTTATTCATTTTGATTTCTAATTAAATCTTTTAAAGGTAAGAATATTGATAATAACTGCGAAAAAATATACTCGTCTGGGGAATTTGCCTTAGACAATTTGTTTTTCTCGACACCATTAATCTTTTTAATGAGTCAAAATCAAATTCGGCAGAAAAAAGATTGTCGAGTTAAAATAATTAGAAAGTTTTCAAATAAATAATTCACTTCAGTTGAATTAGAAAAATATTTCAAGTTCTAAAAATGTGCTGTTGTTTTTCAATTAATCACTTTTCCTAAACCACCAAACCAACTTCATTGCCTTTTTCCTTGCTAATATTCACCAGTGGAAACTCAATTACAATTTGGTCGTAAAGAGCGAGCGGCTGAATTTCTTTGCCTTGTCCTTTTAACTCAATAATTTTACAACTGGCAAGCACTTGACAATCCCGCCAAACATTAGCATAATCACGATTGAGCAATTTACTTAATTCATGAATATTGGTCGGTTGTTTGGCTCTTATCACTGAAAAAAGCTCTAACCGAGTTTTACTTAATATTCGGTCAATAACTGCCAGATTATTAGTGATAGAAACATTTTTAGGTTGAATATACTTCTGACCTGTCTTAATACTTTCCTCTAAATGAGAAAATATTTCTTTTACCGATGGTTGTAGTTCGTATTAAAATAAATTTCTTGCTCATAACTTTTTAGATTTATATTCCAATCAAGATTACCAAATTTTTCTTCATTATATTTTACTTTGATAACAACTCAAAGCCAAAGTAAGGTGTAATTTCCTTTCTATTTCTCTCATTTCTTTTTCAGTTAAAGAAGCAATTTTCCTTTTAACATAAATTTTATCAATGGTAGTAATCTGATCGAGAAGAATTTTACTAGGTTTACCCAAATTAATCAGAACCTCAAAAAGATAAATTTTATCTACTTGAGAAGTAAGTGGTATTACAGTTACCACCGGACTAAACTGGTTTTGTTGGTCATTGGAGATAATGACTCCGGGATGCTCTTCTTGGATAGTGTGGATTTTTTTATTACCTGCTGGCTGGGGAAATTCTACTCAATGGATGTCTCCTCGCTTAAAAATTAATTGGGTCATTGCTTTTGTTCTTTTTTTATTCGGCTTTTTCAACTGTTTAAGGACAATCTTTCTCAAGACTTAAATTCAGTCATTCTTTGGGGATTACTTCAGGCTTCCTGATAAGCGGCGGCTAATTCTAGTTCAGTTGGTAATTTTCTTTCCCTTTTATTATAAATCTCATACTCTATTCTTTGTTGGTCAAGATAAGTTTCAACTGGCCGCGAGTCGGCTAATTTAAAAATATAAGGAGTTATTCTTTCCCCTTGCTGTTTTTTTAGAAGAGAACGCAAAGTGCTATAATCTTTAGGTTCCAGGACTGATTTAATGATTATTAGTTCCATAATATAGTTTTATATAGAGGGGAGGGTGTATGTTATTTACTTTTGCGGGATTTTTGCTCGGTTTTTGCTGGAGGTTTTAATGCCTCCTTTGGTTCCCGATGCACTTCATTCAAACCAGTTTTCTCAGTAATTTTTGCCGGTTTGTTTTTGGGCTTTTTATCCTTAGTTTTCTTATTTTACCGTTCTAAATCCTTTTTTTGCTCCCTAAGCAATTTCTCTATTTTTAATTTGTAATGACAAGCCAAACGCAATAATTGCTAAAATTTTCGAAGTTTGGTGTCAATAAAGTCACCAGCTATATCCTCGTTTATTTCTATCGCCATTTCTACTGCCTTTTTGGCAACATTTAGTAAATTTTTGGATTTATTAAATGAATCCTCGCCTTCGTGAATAGCGGTTGCAATTTGCTCCTGAACTGATTTGTCTAACATTGGTATCGGCACTTTTTTGGTATCGTGGGAATAAATACACTGCTGAACCGAACCTCTTAAATTCCTCCTCGTTAATGACTTTCCTATTGAAGAATTGAGAAATGCTAGTAAATAATAGGGATTTATTAATTGTGGAAGGAGACGAATAAGGGTTAAGGAACTTCCGCAAATTGCTCTTACCGGCAAGTTATATAAATTGGTTTTTCCTACATGTGCAGCACCTACTGAGTAAAGAATAACATCATTTTTACTTAGTAATCACCTTTTATTTTTTCTGGTAAATTCATCTGTTGTATAAAGAACTTCTGAGTCGTTTCAGAACTTGTCACTGGGAAAATAGTCCCCAAGATGCGTTTCGGTAATTATGAATGTTTTTTCTTTGACATTGTTTAATCCCAAAGGAGGATTGCTGGGATGACCTATAAGTGAAACTAGGTCTTCCAGATATTTACACCCATTTTTGTATTTATTTAATTTTTCAATGATTTCAGTAAATTTTGGTTGAAAATATTCGGCATCATATCGCTTGGCTTGTCTAATTTCTAAAAAATTTTGGCAATAATTCTCTGCGATGTAAAAATATTTAGTCCGTAGGGAGTATCTTTAAGGATTTGATATATGGGAGATTCGTTCATTGGTTAAAAGTTCGCTGGTTTGCTGAAAAACTATTTTTATATTCTTT